GCAATCTTTTGAAATTTGCTGCTTGTGGGTGTTGTCTATTCAATATGTTATTCACTATATGATTAAAATTATCTAAAATATCTATTTGCATTTGTCTTTTCTTTTTGGTGACTATTTCTACTATTTTTTGTTGAATGTTTTTTCCTACTGCCTTGTCACTTGGTAGTATATAAACTCCTAAAACTACTAACTCTAATTGCTTAAAGTATAGTTTATCTTTTTGACTGTGCTCACATGTTTTTCTCATTGTTCATTAATCATGATGCCTATATCTGATTCTTTTTTTTTGTCTTTTGTTGCACTTGACCAAAACTCTACATATTTCCTATTTATTGTCTGTATTAAGAAACTCCCTTCTCTTTCTGTAAGGTTTGTTTCTGTAATACCTAGTATTGTGACTTCTTCTTCTTCTGCTTAGCCTAGCAGACTATCAAGTTTCCATCCTTTGGTTGAGTCTATTAACATTGTGACATGCAATTTTAATCTTCTTTCTTCTTTTTTTTCATCTTTTTTTCAATTGTTCTTGTATTGCCTTTGCTGTTTCTTTTCTTTCTTTTTTTACTTTTTTCTTCTTTTGGATGAGATTGTGTTTTTCCTTTTCTGTTTTCAAACTTTCTTTTTTCATCTTGTAAAAACTCTTCTATCTTCTTATCCATATTCATAAATTTAACTAAGGCACCTTTAGGAGTGATTGGCTGTGCCTTCCCCTATCAAGACACTTACTTTCTCTAGTTTTTCTAGTCTTTCTAAGATTTGGCCTAGTATATCCTCTATATGTGTGTTCTTTTCTTGCTGATACATCTTATTTTTTTTTTCTCTTTTCTCTTGGTTTTCTTCTTTTTCTTTATCTATATTTCTGTATCTTCTTTGGTTTTTAATATTATGTTTTAGACTGTTGTTTCCTTCTTCTATTATTTGAGCTTTTGGTATTGAGTTTCTCCAATTATTCTTCCTGTTTATATACATTTTGTTCTATTGACTTCTTTTTCTACTTTTATCTTCTTCTGTATCAGAAGTTTGACTTAATCTATCCTTGCTTCTTCCTCTTCTATTTTTAAAATTTTCTCTTCTTTTGGGCTCTTTTTTCCTTTCATTAACCCAGTATACCTGAAAATTGTTGTACATAATTAGTTTTGATTATGCTACCTTTCTGTCTTCTTCTGCTGCAAATGTAATCAATGCTGTTCTTCTTTGGTTCCCATTTCAGTTTGGTGGGATGTATACTGACTTTGCTCCTTTACTTCTCAAGCATCGCAATAATAAGACTTCTGAAACATTTTTAGATAATTCTGTTAGTTTGGCTATATGTTTTCTTTATTCTTCTCTTGCTTCATGGTCTTCTCTTCCTCTTGTTACTCTTACTAGCTTATTGTTATCTGCTGGTAATGATTATAGAATATCTTCTTCTTCTATGTTTTGCATTTGTACTATTGCTAACACTTTGTACTTAAACCTTTTGATGCATACTATTTGTACATCTTTAATTCTTTTACAGATATATTCTACTTCTTTTTTGTTTATATTAGCTGATAGGTTCCATATTGTTAGATAAGTTACATTGTTACTAGACCTTTTTTCTTTTTCATATTCCTCATTGTATAGTTCTTCCCTGTTAGTGCCTACTTTAATCTTCTCTTTTCTGGATCTTGATACATGTTTCCTTTATCTTGATGTTTTTCCTTGTAATCTTTGAGTTTTTCTTTTTTCTTTTTTTTCTCTTTCTTCTCTTCTGATATCATCTTGTACCAATCACTCTTCTTTTTATTAATTTTTTGTATCACTTCCTCTTTGCCATAATTGCAGTTAAAAACTACTTCTATCTACAGATTTCCTCTCTTGAATACTTCATCAATGTCTTTCATATGTGTATTATTTTTTAGAGACCACCTAATAAACTTTATACATTCTTCTTTTGTTTCTTCAGAGACCTCATATGCTGGTATATTGGCAATTAAGCTATTGTTTCGATTACAATTTCTTCTGCTTAATGCCCATATACTTTGTTCTAATGCTATTTCTACAATGTCAATTTCTTTCTCTGTTTCTTGCTTCCTTCTTTTTTGTCTTTCTCTAGTGTGTTTTGTCTTTATTGCTTGCCATTCATTTCTATATTTTCTTGTTTGTTCATTCTTTCTTGTTCTTTGACTTCTTGTTTCTGGGCAGCAGGTTTCAATATAACTTTATTGTTAGCTTCTGTACTTACCTCTTTCTCTTTTTCTTTTTGTGTTATATTAATTTCCTCTTGTTGTTTTTCTATATTTCTGAGTTTTTTCTCTGTAGTTCTCTTTTTTTCTTGCTTTTGTTAAGTGCCTTCTTCTTGAATTATTCTTTTTATTTCTTGTTGCTTTTTGTTGTTGCTGTGATTATATTGTGTTTGTTCCTTTTCTACTTTTGACTTTTTGTAGTTATGTTTAGTTTCTTTTTAGGTTGTTCTTCTTCAGCTTTTTTCAGTATTTCTCTTGTTAATCATAAGAGAGCTACCTCATATGGGTCTTGTTCTGTTAGTATTGCTACAATTCTAACTTCTTTATCTAGTACTGTATATGTTTTGCCTACCTTGTTAAAAAAGACTTTGTTATGTACACTACTTATTGCCCAGTATGCTTTTTTTATAAAAATGGTTTGTAGACTCTTTTTATATTTTTGTAATATGCTTTTGTCTATTTTATGGCTTATTTCTTTAGAATGTTCTGTCATATGCTTTGCTATATCTTGTTTATCTGTTGTTCTATTGATGTTTTGTCTATACTATTTGTTTAACTATTTTGCATATATTTGTTTTGCCTAGTCTGTTACATGTTGCTTGTATAATGTAAACAGATCAACATATAGGGTCAATGGCAATCTTCACAATTTCCATTTGCTTGCTAAATTTTCCAAAGAAACTTGAGTTTTTCTTTACTGTTACTTTGCTAATGCCTGCAGTACTTTCTGTTACTAAGCTTGTTTAATGCTCTTCTTATTGCTGTCTCTTTTCTTTAGTGCTGTTTGTAGCCTTTCTTATTGCTGGTTATGCAGAAAATCTATTTTTTTTTTCACTGATTTTGTGTCCAAGTAATTGTTAAAAAGAGTTGATGATGATTCAATATAGATAGTATTATAGCAATAGCATTTTGTTAATCAGTTGTAATAAAATCTCTGTAACTATAATTATATTAACATAACTGGCAGATTATGAAGCATTTATATAATTAGTTATATAAAAAAATACAAACTAGTAATAGATAATGCAAACTTAAGATAAGTCTTTATAATTATATAAATCTGTAAATCAAAAAGCCAAAGCCTATTTGAAAAAACCTAACTAGAAAAATAGTACAGATTTTTAAGAATAAAGAATACTATATTGAAATTATAAATAAACTAAATGGTAAAATTTTTTTATATTTAATTTTATAAAAAATTATATTAAGTAAACTAATATTAATTTATAAGAAAAGTTTGTAGAGCAGGTCTTTCTAATTTTAATGATAATAAAATTATTAAATTTGATTAAAAACTCAATAAGATATAACTTTTTAAAAATTAGATATAAAAATTTATTAATTAAATTAACTTATAGAGTTATTTAAATTAATTATTTACATAGTAAACTAAGAAACTGAAGAGTTGGAAGCCTATTTGGAAATTCTCAAGTAAAGAGATAGCATAAACTTTCAATAATATGATCAGACTAATAGAAGCCTATGAAACATCCTCAAAGAGATAAGCAGATAAATCAGATGTTAAGATATGTAGAGGAGCATATGACCAACCAAGCTGCTAGAATCACCAAAGAAAAAGAATACATAAGTATACTATAATGGGCTATCTGAATTGGAAGTTGAGGGAGTTCTGTTGGTCCTAAGTAGTAGTTAGTAAAAAATAATGAAGAAGACATCATGATAATAGGTATTGGGGTTCTAGTAAACTTTACAAGAATAGAAATAGTATAATTTAATAGTTAAACAGATAACCTCTATGACCAGGGATGGTAAATGACCAGGTTATTTGATTATTTTTTTAAATGACCTAAAATGACTCTTAAATGACTGGTCATTTTTGATCATTTAAATTTTGGTTATTTGCAAATGACTCATGACCAAATGACCCTGGTCATTTACAAATAACCATGGTCATCACGGTTATTGGTCATTCTACATAGCATTTGGCTTGTGTAATGTGACAATAATCAGGTATTGGTTAGCACGTTACGTGTTATACATTAACATGGGATCAAAAGTAGTCGATCATTTGTGCACAAACAAGTTTTCATCTGAAAAAATCTAGCATTTAATACATTATACAAAAATGGAAGTTATTTATTTTAAATAAAGAAAATGACTCATATTTTGAAGATAAAACTAATAGGGAAATTCGAATCTCTACCGTACGTACATACATATCATATTAAAAGGGGTGTCGTGATTAGTAAGAGATTAATTCTTTACCCAATCCAAAATATGTTAAATATAAAGTTGAATAATAAAGTATCAAAGAAAGTTGATGAAAAAACATTGTTAGTATGAGAATAAAAGTGCAGAGATAAATTGCGCAAAGTGGAAATGTCAATGTGAGTATTAATACTACTGTACTAATTTCATTAAAATAAGACGATATTTATTTAAGTAATTAATATTTTATCGATGCAAATAAATTAGGGCCAGAACAATCATTTTTTAATTCTTGTATTTTTCTCATATTTTTCTTGTGTTTTCTTATATCGTACAAAAACAAATTTGCATGTTTAAAAATTATATTATTGAAACAATACTACTGAGTATTAGCTTATGAAAATAATGTAAAATGTGTGAACATTAAAGAAACATTACATAATAGGCGACAACTGATACTTGTTTGATAACGATAAAAAAAAAAACAGGTACTGTATAGTTATCATTATTTAGTAAAAAGAGTTTTTCGCTAGTACAATATATATAGGATATATTCGTGCTATCTTATGCAAAATATTCATAAATAATGTAAATAATATATTAGATATTTTCACATCAAACTTTACAATGGGTAAAAAAAAGCATAATTTTCGGGAGTATTTTCATTTGGCCGAGTCTGATAACCCAAAAGCAAATAAAAAAGCAGTTTGCCTTTCATGCATTTGAAGATATACCTTACCTGTTGCCCTCACAAAGCCTAAGTGCTTTGTTTCTAATAAGGCAAAGTTGTGTCGTAGTCATCTTCAAAGTTGTGAAAATTTTAAAGCAGATTACAATGAGGATGAAGTTCTGGAAATTTTCTCGCAACCGGTTCCTGAAGATGCTAAAAAAAAGGGTAAAAAAGATAATATTAGTCATATGTTTGAACATTTGTCTATGCAATATAATGATTATTTTTAATAAAATTATAATAGCCAAAGTCAACACTGAATTCGAAGATGAAATTTTCAATACATCAACATCTGCCAATACTGCATCACAAATAAAAAAGCAAACAATGCGTGCTAATTACGTTTTACACCCACTTTCTGATAATAATAAATCGCACTTTGAGAATTTAGTACTACGAATGATAGTATCAAATGGCCTTCCCGTTACCTTTATGGAAAACCAAGAAATGCGAGATATTTTTAATTTTATGATGCCAACCCTAAAGCTACCTAATAGGCGTGCAATTAGCGACTGAATTCTTTCAAAAATATCAGTGAATATAACAGAAGAAATTTTACAAAAAGCATGCGTGGATAAAATTGGGATAACTGCAGCTTTCGACGGCTGGACAAATATCAAGAGAGAGTATCTGTTTGGCGTAGTTTTAATAACTTCTTAGAGTAAACCTTTGATCTGGAATGCGAGCGATATAAGTAATTAGCAATCAATAACCAAGAATGCAAAACTTCATATTAAAAACATAATGAATGATGCAGAAGAAAAAGGCATAAAAATAAATTGTTACATGTTAGATTCTGCTGGTGAATATGCGGCTGCAAGGTAATTTTAAGCAATTATTAAGTATATATATTTTTAAAACATTAGATAATCTTAATTTTTTTTTTTCTTTTTAGACGGCAACTAAGAATTGAATATCTTGATAAAGTTTTTGTGCCTTGTATGGCGCATCAGATTAACTTGGTTGTTGGAGAAATTTTCAAAGAATCTGATGCATACAAAAAAACATCAAAAAATGCAATACGCATTGTTAGTTTTTTTTATTCATCAACGTATTTTACAGGCTTATTACGGAATGAACAAATGTCGTGTTATAAACAAACTATTTCTCTTGTCACCCCAGCTGAGACACGATGGAATAGTTTCTACTTTTGCTTTCATTCTGTATTAAAAAGTGAAGCTGCACTTAAAGTAATTAATAAGTAACATTGATTAAAGAAAAAATTTGTGCTGTATTTTCACGAAATAATGACCTGTGCATTATTTTGCGAAAATAAGCAGTATATTTGCTGATTGTAATAACAAAATTTTATATAATTAGACATTAGCCACTAAACTTTCGCCCGTAAGAATTGGAACAACTAGCACCTCTCGAAGCGGACATTCAAGACAATGATTTATATCCGAAGATAACAATAACACAAGCAAGACACTTCCATATGATATTATATTAATTCTTCAAGACCCCAATTTTTGGAATCAGCTCTATGAACTTCAAGATTTGTTATTTCCCTTATGTGGTATATTAAACAAACTTCAGAAAGACATTGCAAGACTGCATGAGATTGTACATTGTTTTGGCTGGATCATTAAGGTTTTTGCAAACCATAAGGATGAGTACTTTTCTGATCACATGGTAGCATGTTTAGAAAATTGGTGGTCTCAATGGGAACAACCCTTACTTTTACTGTCATTAATTTTACACCCAAAATATCGACTTTCGAAGTTTTCTCCCAATACATCCGGTCTTACTTATACGTATTTTGCTCAATGGTTAAATTACTATTATTATGTATGGTTTGAAAAAACATCCACTCGAATTTTACAAGAATTTTTATCATATCAGAAAGAAAATTTTCCTTTTAATAAAGAAGTATACCATTAGTTTGGTGAAAATATAGTTGATTTTTAGAAAATAGCAAAGGGCTTGGTGCCAGAATTATCTCAATTAGCATTACGACTCTTTGGCATTTGTATCAATTCAGCTTCGGTTGAACGACTATGGGCTTTTTACATATGAAGAATCGAAATCGTTTACCAGTATATATATATATTTTTAATTATTATTATATATATGAGTAATAGAAAGGAAAAAACTGTAAACAAATCACAAACATTCACTGAGGCGAACTTAAATTCTGATCTCTCAATGTCAAATAATTTATTATATAAATTTATTACTGAAATTAACTGGAATACATACTAGAGCTGATCATGTGGGATCAGAATTTTTAGGTGCTAAATTCATCCTAGTGAATATCAGTGATTTCAGGATTGTTTTCCTCTTTCATCATTCATATATATTTTTATAATATATTCATTTTTAATTTTATTTTACTATTTATTTAAATTAAGTTTGAAAAAGTGCTAGCGATGAGTCAATTGCATAGTAGCATATTAAGTAAGAGAAAATGTGAGGAAATTGAAAAGGCTGAAATTCAATACAAACGAATTTGTCGTGTAGCTCCTGTTCAGCCCTATGAAGAAGATAGAATGCAAGAAGTATCAGAACCTTTACCTTCCACAAGCAACAATGAAATTCACCCATCAACTATCAATAATCTGGCAGCTGAACAAAGTGAAGATTCCGAAACAATTAACGATGATATAGTCGATGATCCTGAAGATTACTGGTCTCATGTAATTGAGAATTGGATTGATATGGTAGATGCTGAGAATCATGTAGATAATGAGGAAATCATGGATAATGAAACGCTTGAATTTGAGTTTGGTGGACATATTATCCATCCAGCGGAGGATCCATCGGCAAAGTGAAATTTATTGGAATTATTCAATGATTCATTGGAAGCTCCTGTTTCATTTGCCTTTCAGCAATAATTTTTTAAATGCTTGGTCAGAATGGATATCTTGATTTTTTTTTTTTTTTTTTATCATATAAAGTAACAATATTATTCACCAATTTTATTGATTTACCCCAAAAAAAAAAACAAAAAAAAATAAATAAAAAAAAAAAAACAAAAAAAAATAAAAAAAGAAAAAAAAGATAAAAAAAGAATAAAAAAAAAAAAAAAGAAAAAAAAAAACAATTTTACTTTGTATCAATTTGGTCACTAACTTCCTGAAGTTAAATCTTCTGAAGTATATTATCATTTAATAGAAGGAGTTTTCTTTTGTTGGGTTAGTTTAGTACTATAGCATCTAATCCTAATCAAGTTTAAATAAAGATGAGATGTTAACTCACAAAAGTTTACATCTATAAATCGTGGATTGAATCCATTTTTCTTGCTTGTACACATTTATGAAAATAGCAATAAAAGCAGAACTTTAACTATCATTTCGCGTTTGCTTTACACAATTTTTTTTTTAAAAAAATATAGGTCGCTAAAAATAGACCAATTAATTTTGCCATCTTAAATACAAAAAAGGTTAATCGTAATTAATAATGAATATGATTCTTTTATTTTGTAATTATCACTTACATTTTTAGTAATAAAGCATCGAAATGGCAATATAAATAAATACTATAAAGAATAATTCAGATACTTGGATTTTTAATATAAACGGGCTTTACTATTTATGTGCATACTGCATCATTGTGAATAACACCTTAGGGAATTATTTTGAAACACGATTTAAAGAGAACTAAGGTTTCTGGTTAAATCAATTTCCAACTTTTTTTTAAATTGAGTCTCGAAATAACATTCTCAGAATTTTATTTTGCAATGATGCAAGTTATGCAAGCACTTAATCTATCAATTAAATTGCACTAATTTTTAAATGACCCCATGGGTCATTTGACTCTTGAAATGACACATAACTGGTCATTATTCATGAGAGTCATTTGGGTCATTTCAGGTCATTTACCATCCCTGTCTATAACTGCAAGTATTAGGTAACTATAGTATGTTGCATAAAACTAGATCAGCTGTGTATAGAATATAGAAAGTTCTAATAAGTTTTCTGTTAAGGATAAACTAGTTCTAAGGGTCTTGAAAGCATCAAATACTTTGGATGGGTGTAGCCCAGAAAATGTCTTTGTAATCACAAGTTAGATTATATATACAGAGGGTTTAAATAAGCAAGATCTGTAGTTAGCTTGCAGGTATAATACCTAGTATAAAATCCGTATAATAATGTATAGGTAAACTACTTAAATTAAGCACCAAAAGTGCATGTGTAACTAGTTGTAACCTCCTATGTATGGAAGTCTATGAAGGCATCTGTGTCTAAATATTTGAATAAAAAAATTGAACACCAAAAGCAGAAACTTTAACATTAAAAAAAAAAAAATTTAATAAATTAAAAAGAATAGAGATACAAATCACTAACTCTTTCTGATAATCACTTGTACCAAATTTCTGCTATAAACATTTGACTCTTACTCAATATTTTATTAAGTAAACTGCTTTTAAACATCTAAATAAAGTTGTTTTTAATACTATTTTATACTTAAATAGCCAAATTTTATATCTTTAAGTTTCTTTTCAACAGAGATATATTTAACAAACTAAAAAATATTTCTATTCAAGTTATCTCAAAATTTTACTAGGTTAACTGTTCTAGTAACTTAGAACAAACTGAAAGAGCTTATTATCAGCTTTATTTTGATATATAAATCATCAAAAATGGCCTAAAATTGACTGATTTGTCAAAACTTTCTTTAAACTCTCTTATAAAACTTTGCATTTTATTTTTATAATTTTTTTTTTTATTTTTTTGAGGGGCTGTTTCTGGTCTACCCCATCAAACCCATCCAAATAGGATTACAAATCGATATTACACTATTTGAACTAATCTGTACTATTTACAAATTTGTATTCTTGTAATTTTATTTAACTTTTTTGTTTAATATTAATCTTGACTTACAAATCTGCAAGTGTTATATACTCTGTGTAATACTTATTTAACACATCTTGTGTTTGTTATATCTCCTTATCTGTTACATTCTATTTTCTATCACACCTCTTATTTGTCACACCTATATATCTTTCAAATCGCCTTATATCCAAGATCTTTATAATATACTTTATTTTTATCTTTTAACCAAAAATGCTAACTTTTATTAATAAAGACCCAGATTCCTATGATATCAACTACTATCATAACAAATATAGAAACTGTCATAGTGTAGAAATAATTAAAAGAAAACTTCAATCCTTATAGGTACTTCCTGCAGATGTTAATTCAACTAATTGTGATGCTTCTATTAAAAAATATCACTATTTTAAAGTTCCTCTACAACATATTATTACTACATGTTTTTGTAGAGCATATCATATTAGTTTTATTTCTAAATTTTATAGAATTCCTTACTCTATATTTCTTGGTCAACCCATACCTCATACATCTACTATGTCTGCAAAATAATTTACAAAAATTACTAATGAATTGCCTGCTTCATTTAATTCTAAATAACAACAACCAGCTATCTCTTCAACTAAATCTTGCATTTTATTTCCTAGTTTTTAAATTGATCCTACTTTAAATACAATTATTGTATACTCTCAACATTACTATATATACTTTATTTATGAAATTAAAAACATCTCTTATGTCACAACTGAACAAAACAATTATGTTCCAGATTATGCTATTTGCACTATTTTTAAAAATAATTTATTACATAGACTCTGTATTTCTGGCCTATTAAATATTAAACTTAAACCTCTTATACAAACTTCATCTTTGACATTTCAACAACAAATAATCATAGCCACAATAAAATCAAAACTAATTAGCCTAACTACTCAAACTTTCTTTTTTACTTTTCAAAAACAAATTATTTCTTCTCTTACTCTTAAACAAAAAACTATTCTTGCTCTTATTAAACTTCAATAAATAAAATCTGCTAACAAAATTCAACTTTTTATTTTTTATTTTTCCAAAAAAGAAAAAAACAACAAAAACAAAAGAAAATCAAAAAGATACTAATAATGACCTTGACTGGTTTAAAGAATATCCAGTAACCAACTCAATGAAAAATAATATCAAACTTAATAACCCTATTGCTCAACAACTTCTTGTTTTCATTAAACTATACCTTATTAATATCTATCTAGAAAAAATTGTTCAACTAGCATTCGATAAAACTTCTGAATCAAAACTTAATTACAAATATCTAGTTAAAACTTAGCAAACAAAAGACCTAAATTTTTAATTAATCTTATCTATGAAGCAAATCCTTCAATCAACAGATCAATATCTATTCCATTTGATTTAATTCATTCTACTTTTATTTCTCTTCTTCAAGAATTTACTATAATTCTTTTTACCAAACTAAATTATTTAAAAATTTTCACTTCTTATAGCTCTATTCCACTATATACTACTATTAACTGAAAACAAGTAGCTTTTAATTTGGCTTATCTACATCTTATTCTTTATAATAAATACAAAACTATTCATGCAGAAAAATTTTATGAGAACCTCAAACTCTACTCTATTTAATTCAAATTACACTATAATACCATATGCCACTGACTATAGTACCTCTTGAATATAATATCCCCTATTAAAAAGACCTGGGTACTAATCACAGAATCAAGATTTAGAAAATTGAATAAAACCTGGGTATTAGTAATGAGATCCTAGTTATATAAATGCATAGAATATAATGGAATTTAGCAATAGTATCTGATATGTAAACTAACATATACGATAACAATTCAAAGATAGACAAATTAAAATAAAGAAGAATTTTAACTTAGGTTGTTTAAATTTAAAACTTCGTTTAATATTAATTTTCTTTGCACCTTCAAAGTTCCTCTCAAAAATTAAACAATTAGAGTATTGCAGAAAAATTTGAGACAGATCGGAAAGCTAGACAAACAAAAATAAGCACAACCTATTTTAGGTTCACATGAACCTAATTTAGGTTCACTTGAACCTACTAAACCTTGTTTAATTTTAATGTTTGTTTAATTTTTCTCCACTCCTCTTGGACAAACATAAAGAAATAACGTTAAACAAAGTTTCAAATTCAAACAGCCTTAACGTTTCAGCATAAATGGATCTATCAGTATTTGATACCTAGTTAAAGAAATTTTGACTTGTATTTTTAGCAACCCTATTATAAAGATTAAGTACATACTAGAATTTTATGAAGGCATTTTGTTTAACAAGTTTGAAAAAAGAAAATACAATTAATAAAATATTTGTTACTAATTTACTATGATAGACTTTAATAAACTATTTAGACAGCATTTGAACTATTTTTCTATTTATTTATATAATGCTAATTACAAATTAACATCTTATATGTAAAGAAAATTAAAATTTACATATAAGTAAAAAAAAAAATTGCGATTAACATGCAAGTAAAAAAAAAGTTTGATTCATTTTGCTATATAATTCACTATTTTTTCATTTTTTTTTTAATTTTTTTTAATTTTTTAATGCAAATTTCATATTACAGTATTTAAACTGCAATTGCTTCATTATTGTTTTAATATAACCTTTAACCTTCAGCTTTAAATTTCAGATGCAACAACATAATCAATAAATTTAATAAAGTTACATTAAAAAAATATAAAAAAAACTTAGCATACTTACCTTTAGGCTTTCACCTTAAATTTCAAACATAACCAAATAAATTTATTAAAGTTACATTAAAAAACTGATTAAAAATTTAAAAAAAAAACTTGCATTATTTAATATATATAACACTTTACTTTTGGGTTTCAAGATTTATAAGATTATGTTCAATTATTAATATAATTAATTTCTTCTGCTTTATAATAATCATCTTCACTTCTATTATTAAAAGTAATTTCATTATTGTTATCAAAATCAGCTTTATATTCATAAATAGGATCAGCTTCAGTTTCATAAATAGGATCGGCTTCAGCTTCATTGTCAGTATCATCTTTACTCATAAGATTAATTACCTCTACTGAATTAAAAACTTATAAATTAGTTAATACTATATTTATATAAAATTTTTGCCTTGAAGATAACCTAATGGCACATAATAATTATTATATGCTATAAGACTATTTTCAAGGCAAAAACTTTATATTATTAATTGATAATTTATAAACTCTAAATTATATTTTATAAACCTTTACTAATATTTATATTTGAGCTTTCGCTAGTATTTGTATTAGGCCTTCATCAGTATTTGTATTAGAGCCTTCAACAATATTTGTATTGGAGTCTTTAGCAATATTTGAACCTGAACTTTTATTAGAGTTTTCAAACTCATCTTGCACATACATATGGTTATGTGAGTTTGTACATTGACCAAGTCTATCATAATCAAAAATTAAGCTATCTTCTGTGCCATTTTGTGAGTTAGATATATCACAACACTTGAAAGCTTTTCGTATAAGGTTAGGATTAATATTATTCCATGCCTGAAGTATCCATTGAGTGACCAAATTATATGCAGGGCATTGAATATGACCTGTCTTAGTATAAGTTAAAATACCATTATCTAGCCAATTATTATAATAATGCTGCATCTAAAATAAAATTTATTAAATTATTTATTTAAATATAAGTTTTGCTAAATTAAAACCTGGAACTAAATATATCGATATTTAGTTCTAGGTTTTAATTTGGCATAACTCATATAATAATAATAAATAAATAAATTTATTGAAGAACCTTTGCCTTAAACAATTTATTTATAGTCACATCTAATGGTTGTAATTTTGAAGTACAACCTTCTGGAATTATGGCTAAATTAGTATTTTTTTTCAAAAAATTAACACTTAACAGTATCTTCTATATGTTCTTTAAATGAATCTAAAACTAAAAATAAGCACAGATCTGTCCTTCTTCTATAATTCTATACATTCTCTATCCACCATAGCATTTCATTTGAATTCATCCATCTACTAGGATTTACACGAATAATTACACTTGCAGGAAATGTTTGCCTTGGAACATTCATAAGTTTAAAAATAATAACAGGTAGAAGTTTAGTTCCATCTGCCATACAAGCAAGCACAACAGTAAAATTTGATTTTTCATAACCAGAGGTCCTTAATGAAACCATATTTATATCACAATCATCAATTGTTATATTGGTGGGAAGATCAAATGACATAGAAACCTCATCCATATTACTTATTAAGGCAAGCAGATAATCAAATTGAATTTTATGATATATAATCAAACTTAAAAATTCCTGTAGTGCAGGTTGTAAATCTTCTGAAAGTTTTTGGACTACAGTTGTTCTATGTCTATTACTTAATTTGTGATGCGTCATAAAGCCATCAACCCATTTATCTGAAAATTTGGTTTCAGAAATATTAGGATATAATGTAGCATAGGGAGATCTTTTTGATAATGCTTTTGCTTTAAGTTAAACCATTGATCATGTTACAGATTTAAGTGCACTTCGCAAATCTTTTATCCAACCATAAATTTCATTTTCTAATTCAGGATACTTTGGTGGTCTTCTGTTATTTAACTTTCTAATATGAGGTGAAATACGTATTAAATTTTCTTTTTTACTTCACCAATCTCTAACTTGCTTTGGTTCTATATTGAAATGTGTAGCAATTGCATGAACACTATTATTAGGATGCTTTTCAAGAAATGTAATGATTGCAAGTTTCTTGCAAACATTTCACTGTTGCCTTTTTTTTTGAGTAATTCGAGCCTGGCCACGATTCTTATTTCTACATATCATAGTATAAAAAATATAGTAAATAAAAAAAGAAAAAATCTTATTTAAACGTACTGTTATCTAGTGATACCATATTCTTTATTTTTTTAAAAGTAAACTTTACATGTCGCAGTATAGTAATATCGAACTATATTAACTAATTAATGTACCTCTATTGTAAAGTACCCCTGCTACAAAGTACCCCTCTGTATTTATATCTGCCCCCTGTAATTAGTACCTAGGCAGGTACTATTCAATAAAATCAGTGGTTGAAAGAATAGTACTCCAGTTATTATAGTCAGTGGCATATGGTATTAGTAAAGATAATATTAACTAATCACTTTTTAAGATTCAAAATAATGACAAATTTAACATTAATATCTCTCTTGATATTTCTAAAAAACAATTTCTTTAAACATTTCAAATTTCTTTTTTAAAAAATCATTTACTTGAATTAAAACCTGGTTTGAAAATTTTTTTAATATTTACAAAAGACAATTTTATAATATTAACCAAGAAAAAACTTTTAACTACATTAAATACCAAATTGCCCTTAAGTTATCAAATGAATGCAAAGCATTTTTATCTTCTGAATTCAAAATCACTTCTATCAACTCTTTATAAGAATGTTCCAAACTATACTTTAAAGCTGCCTTATATCATTTCTATACATGTACAGTTAAAAATTGTACAACATTATCTAAAGATACAGAACATAATATTAAAAACTTATCTTCTTTCTTCTTTACTAATTCATATAATCACTTTCTAGTTCTAACTAATACACAATCTAAACCAAAATGAACATATCCTGTTCTTGACTTCTCTATATTTAACAAAGACCAACCAAATACTACTACCTTTAACAAACCTACACCTATTACCTTTCTCTGTCAAATTGCTTCCAAAACTGAAAATAATTTTACTAAACTCAATAATACTAAAACTAACTAAGCATGAGAAAGCTACTATTTTTATAGTTTTTTCAAAGCTTATCTTAGTGCTGCTGCTGCAAATAACCAAATTAACAACTACCATCCACACCAAATCATTGATAAAATTACTAGCAAACCTATTAGTACTAAGTATCTAGCTCGAGTACTCATATACTTTTATATTCTTAAAAATGACCAACTTTCTATTTCATTAATTAGAAAATCTTATAACAAAAAATTCTATTTTGAAGCTCAACAAATCTTACATTCCAAATTTAACATTAAATTTAATCTATCCAAAACAAAACTCATCTTTTTTGATTTAAATACTCTTACCAAATCAACACCTTTAACATCCAAAGAAAATAATAATTCATCTGAGCTTCCTAATGATAATATTATTATATCAGAATCAAATACTAACAATAATAATCAAAACACAGAACAAAATTTACAACTAAATCATATAACAACACTTTCTCATAATACTTTTTAATAGACTCTTTTGTAGAGCATATAAATGCAGCCACTACTTCTAAGATAATGATGTCTTTTACATTTAGTAGACCATTCTTAGAAGAGAATAATGTAAGTGAACAGGTGGTTAAGTCCATTTACATGGAGGACAAGGTTAATAATAGCCAGACCCAACATACAGAACAGGCTATAGTATCCTATACAGCTGTGCAAGCCAAGCATATAATGAGTGAATTTACAGAAGAACTCTTTACTTTCTTGAATTCTATTTTATTATCTTATATCAAGAAAGAATTACAAGACTTATCTTACAATATATTATATGATCCAGACTCATGCTACATTCTGTGTTTAGCATGTTTGAACCTACCTCTACTTTCATATTCTTAAACACTTAGCTTCTTTTAAAACACATTCATTATTACAACTATTCACAACTAAACATTTCAATTATGCATTCACAATATTAATCAAAATTAATTATAGCAAATGCTATAAACATTTTCCAAACAAATCTTAATCTTCATCTGAATATTTCTTTCTACAACTATTAGGCTATACTTATTATCTATCTATATCCATTTCTTCTAAATTATTCTCAATAAACAATAATATATCAAACACTAACCTAATTATAAAGAAAAGTGCTATAGACTACAGTTATTTTCAATTAGTTGAAACCATCTTAGAAGGTTATGATGAAACTACAATAGCTAAATAATACTATGACAATATCTAACTTAATACCTGCTACAACAAATTTTTATTCTATAATCATCTACTACTGCTTTCTCATCCTCAAACTATTATTTTTTTCTTATAACACATTTATAGCTTTGGCTATTCACCTGATAATGCTTGTGGCTATACATAACTATTTTTATTAAAAATAATCATAGTGAAGTTTATGTTTATCTTTTATCTAAAGCCAAATCATTACTTAATCACTTTATCTTATCAGTTCAAGCCATCTGGCATTATCCAAACATTTAGCTAAAATCAAGCATATTGACACCTGTCCTTTTCATACTAGCATCTCTAGCTTCTATCTTTAGTAACTTAACACAACCCAGGACCCCAAACACCTTACTTCTAAATCTTACAATCTGTATTCACAATGTTCAAAAATATAATAAAAACCTTAAACAGCAAGTTTCGAAAGATTATTGTATTTAGAGGTGTGGTGACCTAGTGAAGTGAATAGGTTGTCAACTCCCAAGTGGCAGGTCTAGAGTTCAAATCCCAGTGACAGCGAAAATTTGCAATTCTTTCTGTGTTACGGCTAACTGTC